TTAATGGGATAAATTTTTGTCTCCAAAATTTATTGACTAATCTACAAAAACAATAACGGTAAAAACTACTAAACTAGTAACTTCGTAAGCCGGCTCCGATACCACTGTTGGGAAACGAGGCTTGGATAACGCAGCGGAAAACAAAAATTTATAGTCCAAAACTCGATTCCACCCAAGAACAACTTACGTAAATTACTAGCTATAGAAAGAAATTTACCTTAACGGTGAAAACGGAGAACGGAGGAACGGTCGGGGATGGTTTTGAGAAGATGAACGTAGCGCCAAACGTATGAGGCCTCCAACATTTCCACACGAACTTGCTCCGGAGTCCAAGATTAAACTTGTGCTAGCAAGTTTAATATAGGATAGTAAAAACTATAATAATACTACTTTGGGAGTAATAAATATATAGTAAAATATTTATCTTATAAATATTTGTTTATAACATTTTGTGTATATTTCTAACACTTTAGAAAAATAACTTTGAACACAAAATAGGATTTTTCTTCTCTCTAAAATGGGATGGCCGAAAATTCACACATATTAAATGGGGAGGGATACTCACACTATATAATACAATGTATTAAGAAAATGCTAGGAAATTGCTTAGGGACAAAAACAAAATGAGATTAGTGTAATGTCCCCAACCAACACAACAAGACAAGTATACTTTTGTTAATCAAATATTTGATTATAAAATCAAATATATCATTAGGTGGAATATCAAAATATGTTTTGTATTTTTCCCCTTAGAATTTCTGCCATATTATATTAAAATACATTACATTTTATTTTTGCATCAATAATTATCATATAATTAAAATGATGAAAATAAAAGTAATATATATATATATATATATTACTTAGTTTATATATATATATATATATATATATATTACTTTTATTTTCATCATTTTAATTATATGAGGAGGTTCTACCCATCGCTGTTCAAGCGTTGGTCCAACATTATTACAAGGCAGAATGCCCTTACCCAGCGATGGGAACCTTTACCCCTCGATGGGAACCCAGCGATGGAAGGGCATACCCATCGATGGTTAGGCATGACCGTTCTGAGTCATTTAAAGCTGATTCTTTCCTTGTTTGAAAGTCAACCTCCCATCCAGCGAGGGGAAGCATTTACCCATCGATGAGTAGGTGACCGTTGGCTTCAAAACTAAAGGAAAATTGGCCTACCAGCGATGGGTAAGTCCATACATCGCTGGGAAGCCAATATCCTGCAGATCCATTTTTTCATCAATCCCATAAATCAAGCCAATCACTCCTTAAATGTTTTGATACGTTGGAGCCTATTTTGGCACTATAAAAAGGGGTGTTTGGGTCTTCTTTTCACATCAATTCACTTCACATTATTCATATTATCATTGCATTAAAACAAAATCATTTTTCATAGCTTTCTAGAGCCAATTTGTGTGAAGTTTGAGTTGTTCTTGAGCGTACTTAGTTTACTCATCATCTACTTTTAAAGAGAGTCTTGTTCTTGAGTGTTTAGTGTTGTATAAACATTAAGGGAAGCTTGTTTTCCTTGGTTGTACGAAGGAAAGGTATCTTCCTTCGGGTTGATGTCTTGGAGTGCGGTATCTCCGAGCAAGTGTTGTTGAGGCTCGTGGGACTCGAGTTCTCAGGTTGTAACAGTTTTTTAAGCACCCGTAAGCTTAACGGAAGCAGTGTAGCTCGAGAGAGTCTCTCGGGAGACTAGATTAGCCACACGGTGTGGTGAATCAGTATAAATCTTGGTGTGCTCTCTTTTCGCTTTCTTCGCTCTTTACTTTTCACTTTCTTAATTTTTTTATTCCTGCGATTTCTACGATCAAACGCTATTCACCCCCCCTCTAGCATTGGTCACTTATTCTAACAATTGGTATCAGAGCCTAACTCGCATCCAAACTTAACCGTTTGAGAGTAAAGCGATCATGGGTTCTTCTTCTAGAAATTTATATGCAGAAATAGGTGAAGGGCAATCAACCACATGGCCACCTCTTTTTGATGGAACCAATTATACATATTGGAAAGAACGAATGAGAATCTATATTCGTTCCACAAACTTCCAATTATGGTTGGTTATCAAAAACGGGGAAGAGGTGCCGATGAAGAAAGTTGGCGACAAGTTGATCCCCAAGACCGAAGACGAGTTTGATGCTGAGGACATCAAAAAGGTCGAGAATTATGCAAAGGCAATAAACATGCTTTATTGTGCCGTAAATCCTGATGACTACCGCAAGATCTCCTGCTGCTCAACTGCCAAGGAGATGTGGGATAAGCTCGAGGTGACGTACGAAGGAATGGACCAAGTATGTGAAGCCAAGATCGACTTCCTCATCCAAGAGTATGTGATGTTCAGGATGAAGGAGCACGAGAAGATTGACGACATGTTCGACCGTTTTTCCAAAATAGTCAACGATCTTCATGCATTAAAGAAGACTTACACCGACAGGGATCTTGTGCGAAAGATCATACGGAGCTTGATGAGGATGGCCTTGTGGGCTATGGATGTGGTGAAGCCGAGCACATCAAGAACAAATGCCCGAAAAGCGGATGTAACACCCGCCTTCCGTGGACCCAGTTCACCCGCAACCCAACGGAGCGGTAGGGTTACATGGGCGGTCCGAGAACCGTCCAAAGAGAAAAACGTATTAACTTCGATTTATTATGTAACGGTTGTGTTTAGTTGGTGTAATAAATACTAGGGAGTTATTCCCAAAACGTGTGTGATATGAATGCAGAGTAAAAGCAGAAGTAAATAAATAAGTCCAAAATAAGTAAAATGATATATGATGGGTTCATTCCCAAATGATTAATTAATTCAAATGTTCATAGTTATTAGACTCGTCCGTGCGCCGCCCATCTTCCCATCATCACTGTCCTCTAGGGTTAGCACCTGTACCGTCATGTCTACCTGCGTGTAGCAAAAACAACTACACGCTCAGCAAAAGCTGAGGAGTGAATCTAACAAAAGAACATGAAGTGATAACCCATATGGTTATACACATATTAATACCTGTACTTAACGTACGGAAAAACGCATGTTTACTAAATGATTAATTTGCACTTGATGGGATATTATTACACATAACAAAATGATGTACTACCACATTGAATATGAACTTGATGGGGAACATACGTGATGATGACAACCACATTGAATGTTTACGTGACATGAAACATACATGATGACGATATGACTTGATGCATGATACCCCTGAATTAGTTTCACTTGACAGTATCACCCCTGCACTCCGGTAATGAGCCGGGCTCGACGAAAACGTCGCAAGTGAACTAGCAAAACTGGGTGGTAGCCGTAGCCTGACTACCATATACGTACACAAAGCCCACCTGATGAAAACTCGTTGGATCCCAAAGGTTCCTGGACGGGCCCACTGTAGTAGGCACACGAAAGCCTGACCTCCCTACAACAGTATGCACATGATGATGAACCTAGGACATACGTCTAGGATGAACAAGAAGACATGAATGCATTGATTGAAGAAGGAAGTTAAATTTAGCGCATACATATGTGTTTGAATACAATTTGTTCAACATGATGGCCTTAGGTTCAGAGCTGGCTGATAATCGATTATTTGTTGGTGGTAGTCGAATATCTAGCATGGCAGCTTCTGTTCCCAAAGTTCTGCAACCTATGAAAGTCAAATGTCACCTTAGGATAATCGATTGTCAAGTTGGTTTGTCTAGATGTTCCAAATCCAGAGAGGCCTGATAATCGATTCTTGCTATGTGATAATCGATTGTCAAGTGAACCAGCTCTGACTCAAGAATCCGCAGGGCCTGATAATCGATTTCCACTTATGTGATAATCGATTGTCACACTATGCTGGATCAACTGAAGAATTTAGCATGACCTGATAGTCGATTATTCCGTTCTGTAAATCGATTATCAAGGCACGCTGATTCCCATTTTGACTGTTTGATTATCATCAATACATTGGGAGTTTTTGAAACGAACATTTATGATTACATGTCAAGTATTCCATGAATATACGGAGTTTCAAAATGTGTATATTAACGAGTTCGTAACTTGATAACATGGACACACGTATGTTTGATGGTTTACCTACGAACATTCATAGATTCTACGTAGGTTGCGTACGATATTCCTATGAATATAACGACATAGATTATAACTAAATGTTCTAGAATTAAAGGGACAACTACTCACCTCTAAATGAAGGGATTGACGGAATAATGGAACGAGATGAACGAATGGTATCTAATGAATGGATGGCTTCTCGCGTAAACCTTCTTCTCCTCTCCCTTCCTTCCTCCTTGCCTCAACGCCGGAGCACCTCGCCTGTTACCACTGCTTGGCTGAACAGAGCAAGTGAGAGTGGAAAAGTTGTGATGTTGAACGGAGGTTACAAGTGTGGTGGAAAGTGAAGAGGGGAGAGGCTATTATATATTGAATGGACATTATGGGGAAATTAATGGGGAAATAATGGAAAATGAATGAGATATTAAGAGGGAATACGAATGGTGAGATGTGGGGTGGCGTGTGAAATGAATTGGGAGTTACATATGTTTATTTTACTCCGTTATGTTAAAATCTGACCTGAACGGTACACGCTTTCCCCCCCGAACGGGTCCGAATTGAGATCCGTTTGCATTTTCGTAATCAGATAGTCAAAACGAATTTAATTGTAACACCCCAACCCGCGTAACCCGAACCCGTGAGATAGCGGACCGGTGTGCCACTGGATTGGTATCCAAACATACAACATTTTCAAAACAATTTAAAACAAACATTCTATCAATACTTATAAAAATCCATCGGAGTAATTTAAAATAATGCAGAAGCCTTTTAAAGTCAAACAACTTGGGATCTTGCCCGAAAACGTAATAAGCATTAAAGTTAATTAAATAAAGCATAACTACAGACTAAAGAGACAGCCACGCCATCGTACATCTCCTCCTCAATGCCCTCCGGGATCGGCTCTTGGTTCATCTGTCTGATCACCTACGGACAGCAGAAAGGAAAACAACACTATCCGCTCAGCATTGACGCTGAGTGGCACTCCATTGTAGCACAAGAATAAACATAATAATTCAATAATTAAGATCGCGCATATGTTTATCCTTTTAATAAAAATCAGTTCAACTTTAAATTCGGTTCTTTAGACGGTTGACCAACGGTCAACTTATTTTCTTTCTTTTCAAAACGATTTAGGTGTTAAGGATTCCTCATTAACTCTTTGACCACCGGTCAAACCAATTTAGACTTTCACGAAAGTCAAACCACTTAACATTTATTGCCTATGACGGAGATAGCCTCAATCCGTAATACCGAAGATAGCCTCAATTCGGTGGAGGTAGGATCCCTCGGGCGATAGCCTCAAACCCAAGAT